CCTCCTTCTCGTCCCTCACCCCCCACCCCATGCCCACCACAGGGTCGGGCAGACAATCACCTGCTTCTCGGAGAGTGCCTGGCAGTCTTTTTCTCCTTTTCTGGAGCCATCAGCTCTTACTGGTTCCCCCTCAGCAATACCTGCCCTTCGCACTGACTCCTCCTCCTGTCGTCCCCACTACTCTTCCAGCTCAGCTCCTCAGGGCTCAAGGTCGCAACAGCCTCCACTACCCACTGAGGAGCCGAGCAGGGAGCCTAGTGCACAGCAAGTTCTTGGCAACCCCGAGTCCCAGTCTTCAGCCACACCTTTGCTTCTGTCCTCTGCTGGACCCCAACCTCGGGACACCCATCCCAGCCGGCCAGCTGAATGGCCCACCTTATCTGTATTCTCCAGTTTAACCTAGAAGCTTCTACCACACGCAGCCCCTGCTCACAATCTGGCCAACGGGCTGTGATGGCCTCTTGAGCACAGCTCTGGCCGGTCTCTACCTGGGTGGCTCTTCCAGGACACTGAGGGGTCCTGACCCTTCCTGGCGTACACTGTCTGCACACATAACCACAACCCAGGCTGATGAAAGACGGTCAAGGCCAAGACGGACACATTAAGAAAAATCCTTTGGACAGTCACTGTAACAAACACATAACGGCCTTCTAGAAAATTCCTTCCTTATATTATTCTCACTTACCAGTTTGGTGAAGATGGAATAAAAGGCATTATTAATGTAACTGAAAGTGGGGAGATCTTTCCAGAAGGTAGCCTGACAGTTTATACTCAACGCTTTAAGCAAGGGTATCCTTGAACCGGCATTTCTACGTGGGTGACGACGTGGCACCAAGAGGATGCACACAGAGCCACACGCTCTGCAGAGAGACCCGAACAGCCCTGCTCGGACCAGGCTGACTGAATGGACGCAGCTCCTCTACCGACAAAAAGGCCAAGGTCAGAAAGGAACCTCCTGCTCTGGGACTCGACATGACATTGCTTCTGTATATTTGTCTGGCTTCCAAATTTAAATAGAGAATATGGTCAATTTTTGGTAAGTGGGGGAAAATTTTTTTAAATGTTGTAGGAAAAAAAAGTACTCTGTAAAGAAGTCATATGAACCCAAATAAAACTGGTGTAACTTTACAGATGTTACTCCTTGATCCCGAACAGCTGAACGGAATAAGTACAATTTCCATTTTCCACATTTTCCATCGGGGAGCTGGCCCGAGGCTCTAAATCGGCACCCCCAGATGGGACTCCGGGCCCCCTACAGAGGTGGGGCTTGTTCCCACGGCAAATGGCAACCACACTGGCCTTTTCTCACAAAGAAGATACTTCGAATAATCAACTGAGAAATCAAAAGGAAGTTGATTTCCACTGATTTAAAACCTACCGCACAGCCTTACAGACCACAGAAGCGAACACACAGCATTTCCTGCTACAAAGATGTCACAGTCAGCAATGCCCGACAGCTGCTCTGCTTCAGCTTTGGGCTGTGAAAGATTCGTGAACAGCAGCCTACTCCTGCATCCCAGGCCTCTGTCACCACAGCTTCGCCCACAGCCAGCGATGGCACCATTCTGAGTGTCCCCAGACCCACGTGGCAGAGCCACAGCTCAACACTGGCCTCTGGCCACTGACGTGAATGTGAAAAACGAGCCACCGGCAAGCCAGCCCAGACACAGGAAACAAGTCTGATTTGGGGAGTAGAAGCAAATATATAAAGTAAGTAAACAATTTTGAGTCTTTTCACTTGCATATTTCTAGAAAATTTTAAAAGAAACTCAAAGAATAAACTTCTCAAGTTAGCCAACTGCAAAGTACATGAACTACGACAACCCTCCCACCCTGCAGAGAGAATCTTAGATGAGAACGTTGAGGGAATAATTTCATGCTTGAAGTGTCGCAAAACCTCTGCAGCCTTAGGGGAAGGCTAACACCTAAGTGGACACGGGCCGCTCTACTGTCTGAAAGAACACTCGAGAAGACACGGATAAGGGAGGCCCAGCCAAGACGGATGAAAGGCAGGTGACGGGCCAGAGCTGTTCTGTGCTCCCCGTACACAAGTCACCTTGTGAGTCCTCATAGCCCAGGAGCAGCTACTGGCCTCCTCCCTCTCATGGCTGGACACCCGGAGCTCCAGAGGGTAGTAACTGAGTAGAGGCCCGGCAGGAAGGGGTGCAATGGAATCCAGATGCAGATGGTCTGGCCCCGGAGCCCACCCTCCTGTGTCCCTAAAACCCTCACGAGGGACACCTGACCACACGGTGCTCCAACTGCGGGTACAAGACAGGAGACGCTTCTGGGGTGGAAAAGTGGCTCCCGTGACACTCGGCAGGACAGCGTCAGTGCCTGTGGGTACATGCAGGGAGCGAGTGTGCATGGAGGGTGGTGTAGGAGTCCCAGGAAATTTCATAGGCACGGCGTACTTAAGAGGCCTGGGGACCTCGTGCACGCACTGAGTAATGGGGACACTGAGTGATGGCACAGTCATACGACAGCGTCTGGCTGTGTGTGGCCTGACAGGGAACAGGGAGTTGGGGCATTAAGGAAGGAGAGAGACTGAGAGGGCGGACAACAGGTGGTGCGGCCTCACCTCGCATTCAGCATTCAGCTTTGGTCCACTCCGTGAGAGGCACACTGCAGAACCAGAGAAGTACAAAGGAGTGCACTGGTGATGATAAAAGGTGGGGACAGCCTCCACTCAGAGAAAGACCAAGATGACAATGACCATTTTTTCACCCAGAAAATAGCCAGGGATAAAATACCACAGTGAAGGAGACACGCAGCAACAACCCACAGCATTTGGAGAGGCCCCAGGGCACTCACACAGTAGAGCAAGAGAGCCCAGGGACCCCAGGTACATCTGCAGGCAGGCTGCCCGCCACAGCACTGCCAGGACTCGGGGCCCGCGCCACCCACAACCTTCGTGTTTCTTTCTTCAAGCTAAGAGTAACAGCTGGGCTTCTGCTGTTCACACCAGAGGCGCAGCAGGACTCAGAAGGCAAGCCAGGTGAGCAGGACCCGCTGTGCGCTGGGCAAGCTGACAAGAGGCGAGGGCGCTGCGGTGCAGTGGACGAGGGGGCCACCACACGTCCCCCCGCAGCCCACCTGCATGTCTGCACACACTGCAACAATAAGGAGTCCGTGGTGGGACAAAGACACTGGCGTGCGATGACACTATACCGGACGGCCCCGGCCACACTGTCCCCCCTGCTGTTGCGTGCAATACATCAGTGGGCTCCCTTGCCTTCCGGCTTCCAGAATGCCTGAAGGAGACGGGGAAGGCACAAGGAGGTGGCAGTGGCTGCAGTGCCGTCCCCTTCCCTGGGGCTGCGGCCCCCACCAGAGGGCCCAGGCCTCGGGCCGCCTGCCCTGCTGGCTCTGGCTGTGCTTCCTGTCCTCGCTACAGGCTGGCAGCCACAGTGTGGCTCCGACTGGTCAACTTTCTAAGGCAAGAAGAAGAATTTAAGAAAGAGTTTTAAATCCTTGAGTTTGTGACAGGCTGGGCACAGCACTAAAGGGGCTGGCTTTGCGCCACCGCTGTGGTTTCCCGGGCCTGCCCGACACCACACAGCACCGACGCACTGACCCCTCCCCCCCAGGCTAATCCAATCAGAAGTGCCAAGTGCCACCGGCCTGGACTCTAACACGTGCTTCTGCCCCTCACCAGCCCCTCTCCGGAAACTAACAGGACAAAAATCATCACATCAGCAAAACTCTCTGGGCCCGCATGAGGGTGGACAGCTTGTCTTGTTAATGGGTGGGCACCTCACAGACCCCCAGGTCTGAAGAGCAAGATCGGAGCAGGCAGAGCAGGCAATCTCAATCAACTCAGTGAGAGGAAGCCAAAGAACATCATTTCAAGGTGGAAAATGTTATTTTTTCTTTTTTGCTTGATTACATGTCCAAGGCAAAAAACATTTTGATAAAATTCTTCAATTTTTGAGTTTATGGCAACTGGGCTAGGCATTTCTCTTTAGAAATTAACTAAAAGAATTTCTCTTCATTTGGACAAAAACAAGTTTAAATCTCCTGAGATAGTTTCAAACTAAGTGGTGAGTCTCTATGTAGCTTTCCAGGTGCACAAAATAAGTCTCTGTATCAGGAAAGACCACCTCTCACACTCCTAGCCCAGCTAACACGGGGACCTCGCACTCCCAGCCTCCCCTCCCTGGGCCCCCTGGGAGCGCCGGTGCGGACCACAGCGGAAGGGCCCCTGGGCTGGCTGGGTCGACCTGAGTCTTGGCCAGTGGTGTTCGTGGGTAAGTCGTCTAACCACCACCGGGCCCACTCACTCAGTGCTTCACTGAGGACGGGGCAGGGGGTTCCAGAAACCCTCTGAAATGATGTATCGCGTCTATAAGTGCACATGTGTGTCTTTCTGGGTGAAGAGGTCTCTGAATTAAATGGCAGGAACCCCCTGACTAGGTTTCTTCACCTCAGTGTTCCAAGTCTATAGGTAGAAAAAGAGTTCAGGGCCCTGTAAATTCATTTTTAAAGGCAGTATTTCACTGCAGACCAACAATGTTCTGCCTCCCTAGGTGGTTTCTTGTACACACATATTCAGAACATGCCTTCCATTCATCTTTGTGCTACTAATTAATATGGCACAGCTGGCTGAGTGCTGTATTATCTGCATGTTCATGTGCAGAACGAAGACAGTTCTGAAATAAAACAAGTATCTACCTGCAAAACCCAACTCGGCGTGTCCCGTGGCCATCAGCCAGAGCAACCTTTACCAGCGGAGACCGGCTTCCACAGCACAGGCTAAAGGCCCCCGAAGACACTGACCTGAGAGGCTTGCTCTGGCCAAACGGACACCACCACGTTGAGAGCAGAAATTATGTGTCCCAGCGATTAATTAATCAATGTGAAGAGTAACTATACGAATTACACACAAAAAATTAAGGACATTCAGAAGAGAACTCTTTCCTAAGCACAAACAGTTCAGAGCCTGGGGTTTCTACTGGAACAGTCAAAAGAAGGGTAAACGGGGAAAATAGGCGACTCACTTCCAGGAGCTTCAGCTCCTGCACACAGCTGTGCAGCAGCTCTAGGGCGCGCTGAGCCACCTCCCACGGCCTCTGCAGGAAGAGGAGCAGGGTGCACTGGCGAGCAAACAGGTAACTGCGCAGATCTAACAGGGTAGCTTCTTGCCTCTGTATCAATTCACGCTTCTCCATATCTATGGGCTTTCGGAGGATCAATCCATTCCAGCTCTTCACCGGCTGGCAGAAAAAAGTCAGCCAGTTGGCACCATCTAAACAAACACACATCATGAAAGGCTGACTACAGATCCCTTCACCTCACTGAGACTCTCAAGGGACTGTGGGACGCAGGTACCGACGGGCAGCTCGCCACCCAGGTACTCCCTAGGCCCCGGCCCACCCCCTTCCGCTCGGTGTGGAACTAGTCTTGGGAGGTGGAAATGGGGTCATTATCACAAGCACCTCACTCCAGATTTGGCACTTGACAATGAGCACAGGGTAACAGGACCTAGGCTTGGACGCTGTCACACCAGCCACAGGGGAGAATGGGTGGGGAAGCAGCCAGAGACTGGCGGGCCGAGGGCCAGAAAGCCCGGGGCTTTGTGGCCTTCGGCTCTGAGGGAAGGCATGAGGCCTGGGCTGGGGGTCTTCCGGGGCTGGAGGGCAGCCTGCTCCTGCGGGTCTTTTTGTCTCCACTCTTCACCTTACCCACTGTCTCTAACTCTACCTGCCGACTACCTGAGTCCTGCCCCCAGAGAAAAGGACGGTAGACAAAGGAAGGCTGGACAACAAAAAGCAGAGGGGGAAATTTCTGCTTATCATAAATTTCCAACGATGCTCTCAATTTAAACTGATAACCCCAAGACTCAAACAGGATCTTAAAATAAACATAAGAATCTAAATAACAAGTCATTGAATCTTTATGGAAAAAAATATTACTCTATTTTGCTCACTCCAAAACAGACGTGTTACAATGATTTCATGGTACATTCGTGTCAGGAAGTGACTGGATGATGGAACCTGACATTACTGAGCATCTGAAGTGCCAGCCACAGCCCACAGCATCGCTTACTGACTTCCACCTATACTCGGAGCTGCCAGAGTGCACACGACATGCAGGGCCCTGCCAGGCCCCCGGAGTCCCAACACCAGCAGGTCCCTCTGCCAGTCCCGCCACTCCCCGGATTCTCCTGGCTCCCGCCCACCTCCCCTTCAGGCCTCTGTGCTAATGCCACCTACCGAGAGAGACTTAGCTGACTGTCCCATCTAAAACTGAACGGCACTTACCGCCATCCCATCCCTTCCCTGTGTTCTTTTCTGCAGCCCGCACTATGACTACCCAACTCTAAGTAAATATGCCTCTTTCCTGCCTGATTTCGGTTCAGCCCCACTGCACTGAGAACAGTGCCTGGCACATAGTGGGTGCCCAGCCAGTATCTACGACATACAGGAACAAAACCAAACCATCTTATCAGTCCGCTGTAAAACTTGGACCAGGCTTACTTTTGGATTTCAAATTGTCCCAGATTCATTTTAAAACTGAGAGAACAAAGAAATTGTATAAAATATAATGTAAGAAATTTAAAAGATATATATGCAGAATATGTGTAAAATATAAGAAATGCATTACCTCCTAATCTTTTTTATTTAATTAGTAAATACTTTGCTTTGACTGTATGTTTAAATTTGTGTCTTGGCAAAGAGAGATCCAAACCTGAACTTGGTAACCACTGGCTTGGAGTTGGGGCCATGGTGGCATTTCATCAGCGTTTCCAGAGCAAGGGTGGCACCATGCACCAGGTGGACCCTCCCGGGACTCACTTCCCAGGGGTTTTCTAGCAGACACAATGGTTCCCTAAAATCACTCTTTTCTTTGAACACCGTGACAAGGGTTCCCTGACAAAGCCATCTCTTACAGCCCTGCCTGTGGAGGCGAGGGTGCAAACAACCCAAATGCCCAGCGCCAGGGGCAGTGGAACAAACCAACAAGAAGTCCATGCTGGGAAGCGCTGCACGACTATGAGCAAAAATGATTCAGAGCTCCCGCTGTTAACTTGGAGAGATGCCTGCAGTGGGCTGTTAATGAGAATGACAAGCTACAGACAGATAGATACATATATATTTAATGCCACTTCTATCAAAACCAACTATCAACTAAAAAACAGTGAAGACAATTATAAACCTTGCATACAGTTTTACTGTGCTGTGTACTTCTAAAAGAATTTAAGACATTATTTGAAAGTTTAAAAGATGAACACCCAGGACAATGGTGTCCTATAACACTCACTGCAAGGAGCTCTCGAAGATCACAAAGATGACCTTCAACAAAGTAAAGATTCCCACTCCCCTGCTGGCGGGGAGGCACAGGATCGGAAGCTTCCCTAGTCAGCTATATATTGTAAATTTGACACTTCATACTGGAAAAACGACTCTTAAATGCTTTTTAATACTTAGGATTCCTCTAAAAGTGAAAGTGACTAAATCTTAATTCTCATTTCATTCCTACTAGAACCGTATCATTTATTTTAAAACAATAACACAGGATGATTTAATCATTCTGTGACTAAATGGCAGCTTCCAGACTATTTGAAAGCAGGGAAACCGTGCCGAGATGTGCGTCTGAAACGTCACTACTCACCGCCAGCACCAAAGTTGACCACGTACTGGGAGAACAGGGCGTCCAGCTCATCGTACTGCACCAGGGCGTCTTCGAACTGCTGCAGCATCTCAAACACAAAGGCAAGTTCCTCCTGTTTACCCGAAGTTTTAAAAAAGCAAAAACATAAATCAATATTGTGGAACATTATATAGCTATTAAAGACTGTAACAGAGAGAAACAGGCGGCATTATAAACAGTGTCTGTACTACACTGAGTGAACACCAGTTTAACAGCATGCCAACGTTTATGCAAGCGGAGAGGGGACTGGAATGAAACAAGGGAGGGCCAAGATGAGACCTGACCCTTGTGACTTAGCAGCAACACAGGACAGCACAGTCACCTCTCATCCTGGGCATGCCCCTTGCCAACCCAGATACACGTTTTTAACTGGGCTCTTCCATGTGGACGAGCTGGACACCATCCCCCATTTACTCATTTAACCAGCTCTATGTTTATGCCCATGCAGGCTGAATGGGCATTAACTTCATTCAGGGGTTTAAATCCAATTCTGTCATCATTTATTTTGGTGCATAAATGGTTCAGCTTTGGCCACGGCAGGCTCCTATTGGTGGTGCTTATGTTCTTCTGATGGGCCTCTACCTTCCTTGTGCACCTCCTTACTTGCTGGGTATTCCGGGTCTATCTTATATTTTCCCTGCCCCAACCACTTCTGCAAGGAGCTCCAGAACCTTAGTGGAGCATGGAGTTTAGAAACCAAGCTCTAAACCAAGTAGCAGTGAGCACTAGGTGTGCTCACTGCTACTGAGGTGTCATTCTTCCTCAGCCCTATCAGAAGACAAGAGTGTGCATGGGTATGTACTAACACACACACACCCCTCTATTTCTGAATCAACCCGCCCACCCACCCACTGTGGGTTCACACTGACACCTCAGAACTCAACCCAACACCACTGGGTTCATTTAGAATCCCCCTTCCTTGTTTGTAACTCTTCGAAGCTAAGTTTCACACACTCGAAGGGTGAAAAGACGAGGCAATCTGATCTGAAAGGCCTGCAGCAGGCTGGCCATATGGGAAACTGTGAACACTCAAATTCCCTTCTGTGCCCCCAACCATCTGATTGCCACTACGACAAAAGCATCGGAGTAAAAGGTAAACATCAACATTTCTAATTAGAATTGTCACTTATTTGTTCAAAGTGTATTATTTCTTCAGTAATTAATACACAAGTCGTATTTAAATGTAAAAAAATAAGCTTTTTCAAAATATGGTGAATAAAAACAAAGAACCCTAAGAGCAACATTCTGTCCCTCTTTGCAGAGTCAGGAAGGCTCCCCTCCCCCCAAACTACTCCATTACCATCCCTTTGTTCACTCAGACTTTTCTTCTTAAACAGAAAAAGAGCTATTACAGACTACAGGGTTTTTTTGGTGTTTTTTTTTAAGATTTTATTTATTTATCTTTAGAGGGGAAGGGAAGGAGAGAGGGAAAGAAACATTAATGTATGGTTGCCTCTCGTGCGTCCCCTGCTGGGAACTGGCCTGCAACCCAGGCATGTGCCCTGACTGGGAACGGAACCGCGATCGTGTGGTTCACAGGCCCATGCTCAACCCACTGAGCTACACCAACCAGGGCCAGACTACAGTTTTTAAAGTCTAAACTTTGTTAAAACTGTAGTAAAGAAAGGAGCCTAAGGCTATCTTTACTAGAACCCTGGACTGATAACAAAACAGAACTAGAGAGAACTGTGCCCAGGACATCACAGCGCGGTCGCAGTGACGGCAGGTGGTGGGCATCTTCCCCACCGCGACCCTCACCACCGCTGGAGCTCCCCTGCTGCAGCACCTCCAGGCCCACGCAGGCACCCCAGAAGGACTGCACGCCCGTGTTAGTCTGAGGGCAAGGCCATTGCATGAAAGGCTAAATGCCAAGTGCTGAAGCTCCAGGGAGCAGATGATACAATTACTCAGGAATGGTAATCTCTGGTCTTCCTGCTTGATAAGCCAAGAGACAGAAACATCTGTGAGCTACTTACATAGTCTCTTGGTCTGACAAACCATGCCAATAAGACTTACCACAAGAGTGTCCTTATTTAGAAAGAAAGAGGGAGGGAGGGAGGGAGGGAGGGAGGGAGGGAGGGAAAAGAGGGAGGGAGAAAACTGTCCAGTTCTATCATTGGTCAAGTACCTGAACCATGAAATATTCACAAAAGCTCCAGCCTGGCTCAGTCCTCTTCTCCCTCAAGGTTCTCATGTCATCCTCAAACTTGCCTAGGTTTTTGGTAAAAGACATAAGAAGCAATGTCCTGAGTTTGGTCAGGAAGGTGTTCCAGGATTCCTGAGTTCGAGAAGAGTCCTTCAGGGGGTCGGTGAGCACAACACACCTGCAGAGACATAAATGGACTATCTGGAAAATACTCTCCAAGCACAGCGCCAGGCCCCGTTTTTCCTCCCGATGATTTCCTTCCTCCTCTTCCTTTCTCCCCTCCCGCCCTCCTTCCTTTCTTCCTTCTTTAGCTGGTGAAAAATGTCAGGCAGGTGGTGAGAAATCAGGTTAGGAAAAGGTTTAATGCCACACAAGCAGCAAGTGCTGTTCAAGGAGAAGCACTGCAGAGCAGACTGAAAGGAGGATAAGGATTTAGGCTGCACCCTGAGTCTGGACTGTGCCTCCAGATTCTCCGTGAAATAACGTGACCGCGTCCCACTCAGTTCCCCAACCTCGTCTCCCCTGCTTCCTTCGAACACCTCTTTTGGTTCCTTGTAATGGACAAGCTACAATTTAAGTTACTTAACACGGCATGTGAGGACCATCACAACTGGTCAGCCGAGGTGTCCAGCTTTTCTTCTTACTGTTTCTAGTTGGGGCCACTGACCTTCCCATGCTCGTCCCTCTTTTTATCAAGGATACTCCTCCTGTTCCCCCTTCAAACCCCAGCTCAGCTGACACACCCTCACTGAGCCCCCCGCCCCCTGGCTGCTGTGCCCACTCTGCCCTCTGAGCCCCTCCTGCACTGAGTGTCCGCTGTGAACACTTTCTCCCTTTGTGGGTCCATCTCCTACCAGACCGTGAGCTCCTCAAGGGCAAGGTGAATAAACAAATAATAAATAAAAGCTTAGAGGAACAGTGGCTTAACATGTAGGTATGAGACAGCTTCACTGTGGGAGGACTTTGTATTCATGTACAAAGATCAAGGGCATAACATTACAACAGTGTCCAGTGGATTTAGAAATGGCTACATATCCATCCAACAGGTTAGAAAGGTCACTTTCTTCATCCTTCCTTGATAATAATTTGAAAAAAGATGAACAAGTCTGAACTCAGAAATAATTTTAAAATACTGATGTTATGAGTTTCAACATCTCCCCTCAGTAAACACTTTACCTGAATCACCAACAAGTACTGAAATGAGCAGATTCTGACTTTCACTTCTCTGCGCCCTCCACACCCATTGGAGGAAGGGCTAACTTGATGGACCGCTCAGCCCCGGACAAGAGCCGGGACAAAGTCCATGATGAACGGTGATGAACGGTCAGCACCGGAAAGGAAACTGAGAAGTCGCTAGTGGGCTTTAATTCCAGCCACTTAGCCACCCTTCTGCCCTGTCCTGGACATGGTTTCTTCCCCGAAAAACAGAGGGGTCCAGCCAGCCCACCCCAAAGCCCTCCCCACAGAGGACTAGTGTGTTTATTCCCCATAGGAGCTGCTAGAATTGACCAGTTCAGCGGTTTGCCCTTAAGGGCCTCTCAAGGACAGTAATCATCAGCATTATTCCCGACCAGACCAGCATGAGACACAGAGAGACCCTGCACCTACAGGGGTGGGTGGGAAAGAAAACTGACACAGATGCCGACCACTGAAACAATGTTTGTCTCAGTGTCCGGGTGCTTGCCAGGCAATGTACTCACTATTTTCTCTACCCTTGATAATGCCTTGCAACTTCTGACGTTACTAGATCTTTTTATAATAAAAAAGCACTATGCTCAAGAAATTCACCTTAAGCCTAGATGCTTAACTCAGAAAGGGAGCATCCACGACAGTTCAAGTCAGGAGAGGTGGGCGCCAGCTGGGGAAGAGCCACATCCTCAGGGTCCCAGGCGGCTGCCCAGAGGCACAGGGCACCGAGGAGCTCCAGGCTGGGGCCCGGGACAGCCGGGCGGCCTGGACAGTCCACAAGTGATACTTACCAAGTGCCCGAAAAAGCACAAAACCCTTTCCAAGCAAGTTTCCTTTCAGGGACTTATGCTAAGGAATTAATAAGGATATACACAACACTGGAGCCAGAATATTATTTATAATATTGTGGTTTGTAATAAATAAGCAATAACTTATAAGCCCAGCAGAGGACGGTGCAGACAACTTACAGTACATTAATATTACAGAATATCATAAACTCACTAACCATAATGGTGTAGAAATACATTTACTGTCCAAGAAAAAACTATCACAATGTACGGTGGTATTCAGTGAGAAAGGCAAGTACAAACCGCACACCTGCAGCACATCCCATGCACACATGTGCACACAGATGAAGAGAAGAAAGCATCTGAAAGACACCTACCGAATACTGAGTTAATATCTATTTTCTTCCTGCGCTCTGCCCTTTCTAACAATTCTACAATAAACCTGTAAACATCTGTAATCAGAGAAAATTGTAAGTCACTTCAGGACCAGGTATTTCAATATTTCCACAGGCAGAAATTATATTGTCTAATAAAATAATTGTCAATAAAGATATTACTAAATTCAAATTTATGAAAATCTGACCTATTTTTAGATGAGAAAAGATTTATCAAAGATAGCTTTGCAGATTAATGAAAATCAAAGTGTTAGAAGACATGTTTAAAAATGGAGATAAATTGTTAAAAATTTTGGTAAGTTAAATTTTATATATAAAGAATAGTCATTAAATGCAAGTTAGTTCTAAGTGGGCTCAGCAGAAACACACTTTTGGCTATTAGATAAAAACTGTATTAAAAGTAATCAACAGGCACTTCAAAAAAGTTACCATACAAATTCGAATGTTTCACAGTTTAGACTAATACACTCTATTAATACCACCTCGTTTACCTAATGAACCCCCAAACACCTCTCTTCCCCACTCAACCATTCCAGGCCGCCGTAATGGATGTTCCTCATCCCACACAGCCACGCTGCCCCCTCTGCCCGCCAGGCTCCCAGCTCCCTGCTCTTCCTTCTTTGAGAACAAAAGCATTAGTGTCCCTGAGTCACAGAGAGGGACAGGCCACTCAGATATGGAGCATCTTGCTAAGCTCTTAAGCTGACTCCTTTGGGATAACTAATTTGTGAATAGACGACCCTAAGGAAAAACTCCCACAAGTCCAGATGGCATGAAATTTCTCAAAGATAAACCATAAGCTCAACCATCTAACACTTTATTGAAGCTATAAATAAAGCAAGTTTGAACATTACCGAAAAGGAAGTCACATATGGCTCCTTCCCCTAATGAACTGTGAATTCATTGGGTGACCCTGACACAGGTCACAGTAACAGAATGAATTAGCCTCGTGCCAGTCCAGTTGGCACCCCAGCCAGCCCTCAGGAACTCTTCCTTCTCGTCCTTGACTCCTGAGCCCCACTGCCGCTGCCTCCCCCCCACTCCCAGCCCCAGAGCAGACGGGCACCTCCCCCAGGCTCTTCCTACACACAGAACCTTGGTCTCACACTTGCGATGGTGGTGGCTGTGGCTGTGGTGACCTCAGTGTGAGGCGATGCCTGTCTCTGCCACTACATCACACTGTAAAAGAGCGGGGACCACACTTCCCACTCACCCACAGGACCTGGGTGAGCTGAAATACCAAACTACGTGTCACAGACCCAAATGTACAGCGTTGAGAAACACACTGGCCGGCACAGCTGGGAACAGCATCACTGAAAAGAAAGAAGTGAGCCACCCCCAGAAGAGAGAACAAAACCTGGGGGGAGGGGACAGTGAGCAGGAGGGGAGCCAGTCCACACGACAGTGCCCACCAAGGCTTCGGCGGCCTGCAGACAGAGTCTGAAGCAGGGAGGCCAGCGCCGTGTGACGCCTGTTTCTAGGGGGTCCTGCTGCACCAAGAACGGCAAGGCTCCTCGGAGCCCTCGTCACGCTGATACCCATCACTGTCACACTTCAGAAAGGGGACCCACTGTGTGTGGTCTCTCCATGGGGGGGTTCTGTGTGCAGATTTCAGCTGCCAGACCAGGAACTCCAGCAGGAGAGGGACCCGTCCTCCCTTCACACCCTGGTCACCCGCTCCAGCATCAGGCACACCCGCCACAGCCGCTAGGCACGCACGCGCATCAGTGCCTGAGCCAGCGACCTGCATTACCCAGGAATCAGCCCAATGAGGTGAAATTAAAGATCACTTACCTGTCACTCTGTTTATTACAAAAATCATTTCTTATTTTGTCCACAATAGAAGTTCGGGGAAGGATGTTGGTTTTGTTTTTTTTCTTGGCATCATTTTCAACTACCACTATTAACCAGTCCACAGAGCTATGGGCTTTCAGAACATTCTGCCACTTGGTAAGGTCGTCTTTTACTGTAGCTTTATACACTTCAGTGTCCTAAAAATAAATAAGTCACTGTGAAAGCAAGTTAATCAATCCCTTTTATATACATGGCAAAGTGTGTCCAGTAACAGAACACAGCGGCCACAGCACTTTCTCGTTCCAGGCTGGGGACACTCTGGGAAACACTCAGGACAGAGCCACCCTGCAGGCCTCTGGGCACGGCCTATATGTCATTTCCAAACACTTGGGACACTGAGGGAAGACCTTCCCATGTCACAGTGAGGAAGACAGTGAGGGTCAGACAGCTCAGGAAGTTGCCCACAGTGACACAGTCAGCGAGGCAAGCTGAGACTTTAAAACCCCGGTCAGCATGTTGTGTGCTCCGCCTGGACGGGGGAGGTGAGCAGATCCTCGGCCGCAGGCTACCTGTCACCACTGTGGGCTGGCTGTCACCACTGTGAGCTGGCTGTCATGGCAGGGCCAGGGCCAGCCTCCCAGCAGTTCCCTCCACAGCCCTCAGCTCTCTGCCAACCCCCAGAACCACTTCAAACTCCATGGCACTCCCAGGCCACACTTGGAACGAGGCAGCCTCAGATGGAGCCCAATGAAAGAGGACTACCTGAGGCTTCTCGAAAGCTGTGCTGATTCTCACGGATCAACAGGACCGCTGTCCTGGTCCTAAAAATCAGTGCTACTTCCAACTCTGAGCTCGACACATCAGCCTACCAAAGAGAACACCCGGCCTGCACCACAGCCAGCAAGCCCAGCCTCACTCAGTCTCTTCCAGACAGAAGCAGGGAAACAGAAATTGTCCTCACCATTTGTATCTCTATTTACAGTTGCCTGCAAGCTCTGTAAATGCACTTAGAAGATCCAGAGTGAAAATCTAAACACCAAGATAACTAATTCATTTCGAAATTAGGCATTTAAAAACCTTTAAAAACTATACTTAGTAGCTGCTTTCCCCTCTTTTAATGGAAGAGTCCTCATTATCCTGCCCACACTGCCACAAATTTTTTAGCCTTTCTGGAATAACAACTCCTGCAGATCTGTACTAATGTGACTGACTGATTCATGAATGAGTTCAATTTCAAAGTCTGTATCCAGTCCCACTTTTGGTTTCATTAATAAGTAAAAAGTTCCAAAAGGCAGTACTTATAATTTTTAGCTTGACTTTAAAAACTATGTCCTTGGTTTAAATTAGAAGCAAATGTAATCTGAAAAAACATTTTACTTACAACTTAAGAAAAAAATCTTGCAAAAATCAGTTTTCTGTGAATGACTGTACCCATGCTCACATACTGTGTGTTCTCCATAGAATGGCAGTGTTAGGACTTGAAATGAGACTTCAGAATGCTGGTGTTCTGCAGCGACTCTAAGAGCCCAAATGCATCATCCCACCTGGAGGGTGACACAAAATGCCACAGACCCCAGAGCTTCTAATCTAAGGGTGGACACAAATCACAAGGCCCCGAGGGCCAAGGAGCAGCAAAGAACTGAGAACCACAAGGCCTGGTTCCAGGTGCCCTGCATTCCCCTCCAGCCCCCCCCCCCCAGCTCTCTACCCCAGGAGGCATAGCCGCACCTAGGGCAGACACCTGCACACCCTCTGAGACACTCAGCAGGGCAGGCAGTATGCAGGGACTCCGGAAGGGACCTCAATAAGCGGCAGGCGGGACAGAGTGCCCCAAAGCCCTGGGGAAAGTGGGAGTGTATGGTCCAGCCTATCACTCACAGAGCGAACCCACAGGGAACGGTGCTAGAAGACTCTAGTGTCTCTCCAGGAGAGGAGCACAGGTGAGCCCTGAGGTTAAGGGTCTCTCAGGAAAACAAGGCTAATGGCAGAAGAACCCATTAGCAGGGAAGGAGGGAAAGGTGTCCATGGTGGGGGGCAAGAAAGGGGCCTCAGTGAGGAGCAGCCCTGCCTAGGCCCCAGAGCCGAGCAGAATGAGGAGGGTGTCACAGCATGAGATATGGGACCCCAAGTGAGATGATGAAGGACGAGGGCACTGGCACGAGGCGTCCGAGGCCAAGCAGGACAGAGGACTTCCCTGGGGGTGCTGTGGGTCAGAGGAAGTGAGGAGTGCATGATCCAGCACTGAGCGTCTACACCAGAGCAGAGGGGCACCGTGGTGTGGGGGTCAGGAAGCAGCGATGGGGAGAGTGCCCTGTGAGAGCAAGCATCCGGATAAGCAAACACCTGGGAAGGGAGCAACAAATGTGCAAGGAGAGAACTGTAATCAGCCCTGTGGGGCAGGACTGGAAGTGGACTGTGCGTGTACACGCATGTGTCTGTGTGTGCACACTGAGCTACAAGCAGAAATACAGGTGTAGATGGATGCGAAGGTGACACACATGTACAGACATACATGCCTTCTTCAGCTCTGTCACTGAGATGGCTCGACAGCAAACAGCACATCTGGCTCCAGATCTTGGTTTCTAAGTACAATTTTCCACTTAGAACCCAGGGTCCCTGGAGAACAGTGGACCCAGGGCTTAGGGAGGGAAAACACTGGAAGAGGACCCTGGACGCCCTGTGCAAGGGAGCGCTCAGACGGTGAAGGCATTTCCAAAGGTCACAGAGGCCGAATCTGGGACAGCCTGAGCACTAAAATAAATAGTGACATTAAGGAATTACATTCTCAAAACTAGAAGTTAATAAATGTGTACTGACACCAACCAACAAATGGGACCATCACTTCCAGACAAGATGAATGACAGGGAGCAGACTACACAACCACCTGAAACAACCTCCCCACTCCTCACCCCCAAAAACCGCAAATCAAGGGGTTCCGAGACCCTGGACATCAGGCGATAAAGGACGGTTCCTGAGAGAAGCCGCAGGGAAGCACCCAGTGCAGCTGAGGCCCCAAAAGGCTCTGACCACACACAGGGCGGGGCTGAAGAGGCCTCAGAGATGAAGACAGCTGCTTCACAGGGGGCCAGAGGACCAGAGGAGAGAGCAGCGGGAGGGGACTCTGGAGGCCTGCGAAGCACCCTCGAGTGTTCGGCAGGGAACTGGTGAGCTCATGCACGCAGGCAGCACCCAGAGCCGAGGGAGAGACCCATCGGGGCAGGATGAGACACCCACGCAGGGCCGGGAACAATACCTGCGCTCGCAGGCCAGAGCAGAACACCTGCTTGCTCACAGGGCATCAGGAGGAGGACTCAGAAAGTGAGGAAGTCAGTCCTTGACTGCTCGCTGCTCCAGTCCCACCAACACATAAAAGCAATCCCTAAAAGGATCAGACTTAACTTAGTTAAAGCTCAGGCAAATTCTAGGCTTACAAAAAGACCAGGACTGGCCAAAATAAAATCCATAATGTCTGGCATCCAATAAAAAATTGCCAGGTAGGAAAAAAGAACATACGGTCCATAAAATGTAGAAAAATCAATCAGTAGAAGTAAATTCAGTAATGATGAGGATAATAAAATTAGTAGACAAAGCCATTAAAATAGTTTTGGTAACCACACTGCATATGCTCAAGATGTCAAGCAGAGCCATGAAAGATATTTTTAACAGGAGGAGGGAAAAGCCCCCTTGGAGTTTCCGAAGATGCCACCACAGTGCTAAACTAACTACACTGGGCAGTATTAAGAGCAGATTAGACAACCTGAAGACGCAGAAACAAAAATTACCCAAAACACAGAGAGGAAAACACTCATAAAGCATCAACGCAGCATCAGTGAGCTGGGAGACTTCAAGTGGTCTAACATATAAGTAAATGGGGTCCCTAAGGGGGGGAGAAAAAGGAGAGACAGAAAAAATATTTGAAGAGAAAACGAGCAACAGTGTTCCAAATATGACCAAAATTATAATCTCAAAAGCCCAAAATAACTCAAGCACAGAAACATGGAGACTACACCAACGCATACATACCACAATCAAACTGCCTAAAACCATGGATAAAGAAAAAAATCCTAAGCCACCAAAAGAGAAAAGACACCTATATACAAAGTAACAAGAAAAGATCTCACATGGGTAACACTGGAAAACAAAAGACAACAGAGCAACATCATTTTAAGTGTTAAAAGAAAAGAAAGGACCTTCAAACTAGAATTCTATCACCAGTGAAACATTTTCCAACAATAAAGGCAAACAACTGTCTCAGAAACATGGAAGCTGAAGTAATATATCACCATGGGCCTGCCCTGCAGAAAGGCGAGGGAATCCTTCCGGCAGAGGGAATGAACACCACCTGCCAACTGGGACAGACAGACGCAAGGGAAGGGGAGCACCGGAAAGGGCAACCCTGCAGACAAAGGTAAAGATGCGACTGACGTTAGAGCAGAACGCAGGGCCCATGCACTGTGGGGTCCACAGCACAACAGCGCAGGGGCAGCAGGGGGCGCAGAGGCACGCTGCCGTGCAGGTCTCGTGCCGCGTATCAGGTGCAACTAGAAGGAAGGAGGCGCTAAGTCACAGATGAGGACAAACACTGCAGTGACCGCAGCGAGTCCTCCAGCACCTCGTCTGTCCAATGCCACCTGACAGGGTGCCGTAGGCGCGTCCCTGCAGTTTGCATTGCCTCGCCTGCGGCCAGCCTGGTTTCCTGATACATCACTCAGCTGCAGTTCCCAGAAGCCACTGATGACGTGAAGAGAGGGCTTACCGGACTGCAATAACATAACAAAGAGTTTTACTTTTAAATTTAAAATCCTCATTATTATCAACTTGCTCCAGGAAATTCTTAATAGATAATAAAACTAAACGAACAAAAACCCTAGAACAATGACAAAATATACAGGCTCCCTAAGAGAAAATACAATTGAAGAAAAAAAAACCCAGCTCATTCATAATGCCCACAAAAACTATTCCGACAATAAAAATACAAGACTTTTGTGAAAAGCATTGCGGCACATTATTAAAGGACTAAAAAAGGTAGAAAGAAGGCAGAAACAAGCCATGTTCCCAGACAAGAAGATGCATGATTACCAATTCCTCTCTCATTAATCTATAACCTATTCAAGGCAGTCACAATCAAAACCCTCAATCTTTCCTTTTTTCTTTTAGACTGCTATTCCAGTTACCTGCTGCTTTGTAACAGCATGAAGTACGTAACCATCCAGAACATTTACTCTGCTCACCAACCTACAACCTGGAGACTTGGAGGACAGCTCGTCAGTGCCCCCTGGTGTCAGTTGTGGGGTTTGAAGGCTGGAGCAGAAAGGCATCCCTGTCTGCTGGTGGACTAGCTTGGGGACCGGAACCCCTGGGTCTGAGACTGCACCTCCAGTTGGCCTTCCCATGGGGAAACTTGACTTCCTACAGAATGGTGGCTGGGCTCTAAGAGCAAGAATCCACAGAGGAACCGGCAGAAGATAAGTTACCTTTAATGACTTAGTCTCAAAAGTTACAGTGTCCCTTCTGCTAGTTAGAGGCCTACAGATTCCACTAGGGGAAGCGCAGACCTGGCCTCTCCATGGAAGGCTGTCCCTGCCACGGACAGAAGAGCTGCGGAGGGGATGTACTGGCACAGGCACTTTTGGGAAATAAAATTTGTACACCTACCAACCTGATTTCAAAGTTTATATGAAAGAGAAAATGTATGCTAATAAAGGGATTTATTTTAAAAGAACAGATATCAATACACATTGTAAAAATGTAATAACTAGAAGTCCAATCCTGGCACAGAGTAGACAATGATTAATACAACTGAAGTGTCCAGAATATTGCACATGTAGGATTTTGGCTTCAAGGAGATATTTTTCAATTAGTGGGAAAAAGACAAATATAAAATGATGCTAGGCCAAGTTGCTACACATTTAGACTGTAATATTAGGCCCCAAGTCCTTATAGCTCCTGCCATACACAAAAATCACTTGAAGTTACACAGATCAAATTACAGAACAAATTACAAAATCATTAAAAGAAAATACAAAAGAAAATCAATTACCTTCAGACAGACAAGGCCTTTCTAAACAAGATATACACTCAGACACCATTTTTTAAATGACGTATTTCATTCCATAAAAATTATAGTTGTTACAAATACCTGTGCACTAAACAATACATCAACCGCCTTTATAAATCAGCAACTGCAGAAGATGCAAGAGAAGCAGAAACATATCGGTAGAGAAGGCTTTAATACCACCGTCAGTTAAAGCCAGGTCAAGCGGACAAAACACTAAAATGTAAATGATAACATAATCGTCAATATATTTCTATGAATACATATTTAACATAAATACCTGAAATTAGAGAAAATACATTCTCAAACAAGCATGGACCATCCACAAAGACTGATCATTGATTAGGTCACAGAGAAAAAATAAGTTTCATAAAATAAATAATGCAATAAAATTAAAATTTTTTCAAATTTTAAACTTTCTGGAAATTAAAAAAAAATTTCTGTTAAACTACTAGCTGAAAGAGGCAACACAAACAGAAAATAGAGAATACCCCAAAATAATTCTAGAACACTGGAGCACATTTAAGTCCTTATCTTTACAGACCCATAACAACGAAAATTTAAGAGTAAAAATAAATGCATGCCCAACTCAAAAAAACTAGAACAAGAACAAAGTAAAACATAACAAAAGAAAAAAGTAAAATGAAAGAAAAATTAATGTAGACAGCAGACGAACAGTATGGCAGATTGATAAAGAAACCCCGGTTCTCTGGGAGGAAGACCCAGCCACCCGCTGACGTCATCGGGGAAGAGTGGGAGAAAGCAGACACAGAGAGGAAGGAGCCGCGATGGAACCAGTTATGGACACAGGATATTTCATAAGTCAAAAAAGACCACAGACCTCAAGAAAAGTACATTTTAAAACTTAACTAAATATATAATTTCTAAAAGTAGAGTTTATCAAAATTGGCAAATGGCTAAAACAGACCAATTTCCACAAAGCGATTCAGGAAGTGGCCAAGGAACCGCTCCACGGAGAGCACCGGGCCCAGATGCGTTCACGGGAAAATGGCACCAAACCTTAGCGATCAGAGTCCCAGTGTTACAGAAATTGTCTCAGGAACAGAAGGGAAAAAAACTTCAAAATTCTTTTGATGAATCAAGTATAACATTGGTACCCCAACTTGAGATGGAGCACAAAAAAGGTGGAGACCAATCACTTGTGGACACAAATGTAAAAATACTACACGAAGCGAACAAACACCTAAACCACATTAAGAAAATAATACTTGACTGAGAGGGATTTCTACCAGGAACGCAAGTGTGGCTCAATAATCAGAAACCCACGAATGTAACTCAACATATTAATAGATCTAAGTGGAGAAAATCATATGACGATCTCCAGTGCGTCTACAAAAGCCTTCAGCAAAATTCAACAACATGTTTCTAATTAAAAAAACCATGAGAAAGCAGGAATGGATGGAACTTCCTTACATGTTCCTATGAACTTACCTCTGTCCCTACAGCCTACATCGTACTGAATAGGGAACCACGGCAGACATTCCCTCTAAGGCCAGGAACAAGGCAAGGTGCCCACTACCTCCACTGCCACTGAACAATGTCTTAGAACAGAGAAAACATGTGAGGCACAGAACTGAGCAAGAAGAGGTCAGACTTTCTTTATTTGCAGATGACATGATAGGATATCTGGAAAGCCCTACTGGGGCCTAGAGAACCAATGATAACTAACTCAAACAATAGAAGAATTCAGCAAGGTTAACGTGAAAAAAATCAAGAACCTTCATATACAGCAAAAATAGCCAACTAGAATATATCATGGAGTGGAAACACACGGGCAAGAGCAGCTAGGGAAACGCTAAAAGGACAAAGGCCGAGGAGGGCTAGCCCAAGTGGACAGGCACGAGCGTCCCTGTCCATCTAGGAAAGTGCAAACCGCAAACTACTGCTGAACTCTTCTCAGAAGGTCTGCTTCCAGCTGTAGCACAGGTGCAGCAACTGCAAAGCTGTGTCATGCTTACGGTAGGACTGGGCCCGCAGCAGATGTGTTGGTGGCGTCAAGAGTGGGGTGAGTACAGACATCAAGTGGGCAAGGCCAGAAAGAGCCCTGTGGGGCCAGGCTAGACTCCGAGGCATTGGTATCCGCTCTGATCTCGAGAGATGAGATATCCTGCATTAGCTCTGTCCACAAAGAGGGTGGAAAGCGGGGGGGCTCCACAGTGGCAAAGGACACAGTGCTCTGTGAAGACATGGCCGATTCCAAGACAAGGGCAGCAAACTACAGGAACCTAGAACATCTTTACTGTCCCAGAAAGTTAGAAAAAGCTCAAGGGGACAGAGGAGCCAGTTTGAAGTGACCACTGGCCACATCTGACAAATTTGAATATCATATAAGTAAAAGCTCTAAATTAAACAAAAACCCGTGCAGGCTCTTTCCTAGAGTAGAGCACAGGCTGGTCAACTCGGGGGAACGGCACTGGCAACCCTGGGTAAGGACTGCTCGGGAGGAACCACCGGGGGCGAAGTCTCAGCGTGAACACCAGATGAGAAGGGCGCTCACACCGTCCTTAAGTGGCCCCCAGAGGCGGCTTACTCGCAGCAAGGGGAAACCAGACAACCCCCGACCACAAATCAAACCTGACTTGACCACTGAGGGGCTAGAGAGGAAAGAGGTACCGGGCCTGGGGCGGCCATCTCTAGGCCTGCTCCCAAGGCTGCCCCTGGGCCGGCACCTGGGAACGGGGACTGCGGGAGGGCTCTCGGCACGTGTGACGGGAGTGCCGCACTGGGCCTAAACCGTCCGCACAGACACGATGGTCGTGCTCACACCTCTCTCCCTCTGGGGGTCTGGAGTTTGGGGCACATGCAGGGCAGAAGTGCCACGTGACCAGCCCCGATAAGAGCCCTGGGGGCTGGGTCTATGATGAATCCCCCTGGTAGACAACTTCTCACACATGTCACTGAGCTCAAGCAAAAGATGCACGGGGTAAAGCCCAGGGAAACCGGCATGAACTTTGAGTTCATTCGCATCAAAATTACAAAAACTGCCTCTGCCTCCTCAGATTCAGGTTAAAATGCCATGCAATGATTTATGTATTTTGTGTATTATAAATGTTTGCTTTATGTAGAGTCAAAAAAGACAGACAGAAATGACCCACAAAACTTTCTATTAATTCATGACAGAAGAATTATGTCAGAACATAAGGTTTCTTTTTGGAGTCACAAACACATACAGCCAAGTACAAAGAAAGGCCGCCAGCAGCAGCGCTCACTCCCTGGATGGACAGGCACGGACTGTGAGGAAGCACCCGGTGCCCCTGGCCCTCAGAGAGTCTACAAACCGGCAAGGGACACACGAGGACTATCCGCCGGGAGGGCGAGCACAGGAGGTTGAGGAAACGAAGCTGAGAGTAAACGGAAAAAATGCCTAGTGGTCACTGGGGCACAGAGATGGCTCACGGAACCCAAACACGGGAAGGAAGACTGCGCTGGCCGATGACCACAAGGGCAACGCACTAGACCAGAGCGGAAAGATGGGACAAAGCCACACACACAGCTGAGGAACAGAGACAAGGGAACAGCGGAGTGAAGGGCACGCCAGTGAGAACATAGGAGAAATTGTGGTTGTCTCAGAAAAACCTAGGCCCGTGAGGTCTTACCCCGATTCCAAGACAGGTCCCCGCAGTGAACACTTACACAGCACTCCGTCCAGTAAACGTGCAGGAAGGGGAAGGTGAGCAGGGCCTTGTTTCCTTCTTTGGGCAGCAGCTCCTCCTTGAACTGCACGAAATTGGATTCCAGGTGAATCATCTTGGGAGCCCGGCCATAGGACCTGCAAGCAATTTTTAGTCAATGAGAAAAGCAACTGATGGACGTTCAGCAGAAAGAAAAAATGCAACAAGAGTATAATCATTTCCATGAGTTCAGAAGTACATGTAGACTATTAATCCTGCATGAGTATTCCCCCAAATTCTGTAAATTATTTTAAACACACTCCAGGACTACGCATCAAAGGTATCTATCCATAACATCTTCCAGTTACTCAGTGATGCTCGCATGCAGAGGAGCATGCTGTCTAACCAGGCTGTTTGCAACAACGCGGACTTCTGGGGGAAACGGACCTTACTTGGAGTTTAACTTCATCTTTAAGTCACTGGAAAAGAAGAAAAGTTCCCAAATGTCAAAAGTACAATTTGAAACTATGAAGTCTTCAAACTGCACCAGGAGTTTTGCCTCCGTATTATCCAAAAAAGAGAATCATCTGATGAAAGAGAGCAGGTTTTGTCTGCAGAGCACAAATAAAAACGTGGTGACCACCCTCCTCCTTTTCCTGCTCCGAGAGGCGAGAATGCAGAAACCCCACCATCCACAAACATCTAACCTGAGGCTATCAGAAGATGTGGGTGCAGTTTAGTTAGACTTCTGAAAATAAATTATGTCACCTGTGTCTTTTTCCAACACTTATTTTCCACCTCTAGAGAGAGGCTGTGTCTCCAATCTCAGGAGCATCTGTGTTTAACAAGCTGACACCAGCCATGTTGAACGTGACCAGGCTCACACGTGAACTTGTCTATATCCTATTTGCAGGCTATTTTTTGTCTGTCCTTTGTGAGATTAATCAAATTTTATTTTTCCCTCTTCACCATCTATCCCTATTCTGCTGTTGGTTACACTTTTGTTTTAATACACATAAATGTACGTTTTCTTTCAAAGATTAAAGTAAACATGTAGCCCTGGATAGTGTGGCTCAGTGGGTTGAGCGCCGGCCTGTGAACCAAAGGGTTGTTGGTCTGATTCCCAGTCAGGTTAGGGCACATGCCTGGTCCCTAGTGGGGGGCACAGGATAGTAAGCACACACTGATGTTTCTCTCCTCTTTCTCCTTCCCTTCCTCTCTCTCTATAAATAAACTCTTAAAGAAAAAAAAATGTATCCTCCTTGAATGACACAAGACAGTATATCTTCTTTCTGCTTTCTTCCACACAGCTGGAAATTTCAATTTTTTCATTTTTAAAAAGATCGATACCTCAACTTCAGCAAAATATTTTGACTTGTTTGTTGGCAGCTGCTTCTTTCATCTTGTGAATTCTGAGTTCATTTTTCCTCTTGTTGAGATCCATCCTTTCATTATTCAGTCAGGGTGGCAGGGTTTCTGACCACACATGTCTCAAAATGTCATTATTCTGCTTCCCGACCACCTCCATGTCGTCAATCTGGAGTAACACACATGGCTGTGTGCAGTGCGGTGAGACAGAGCAGAGCTCCGGGCCACAGTGGGCCCCAGCCGGACCCCTGAGGCTGAAGTCGCTCAGCACCCCGTCTCCTCCAGGGCCCACGGAGGAAGGCGCTGGTGCAGTTTTCCCTCTTGCATCAGTTCTGGGCTCAGAGGTATTTTCCCTCAATACTTTGAGAACACTGTCCTTAAATGTTCTAGTTTAAGCTGTATTTTACATGTTGAGAGAGATGCAAATTCTGTTTCCCTTTTCTCTTGGCATGCAGATTTCTTGGCATGGCTTTCAGTTTGCTTTCTTTCTGCCCGACTTTCTGCAGACTCCCGAAACCTCTGATCACTTCTGGGAAAATCCTGATGCTGGTTCTTCAAACACTGCCCATCCTCTCTGTTCTCTCCTCTGAAACATCTATTAGAAAGACATTGAAACCTCTGGACTGACCCGCCACGTCGCTGCTTTTCTTGCACGCTTTCTGTCTCCAGCTCCAGCAATTAACCCTGGCATTTCTAAGCTTGATCTTTCAACTCGCTAGCTTGCCCTTCACCTGTACAACTGCTCAGTGAATCTAGCCAAGTTTGTGCTTCAAGCTTTTTTACCTCCAAGATATACTCAGGTAAGTTTGAATTTTTATGAAAGTAATATGGGCACACTCTAACATGTCAAATATTATGAGTTAGCTTTTCTCACACACACATAAGCGTGGGTGCCTACCGTCCTCTCTCCCTTACCCACATACCAGTCTCCTAGAATTGCCATTAAAAACACACCACAAACCTGGAGGTTTAAAACCACATTCATTTTCTCACAGTTCAAGAGGCCAGGAATTCGAAATCAAGGTGTTGGCGGGCTGGTGCCCTCTGGGAGCTCTGAGGGGAAATCCGTTCCTTGCCTGCCTTTCGCCCAGCCCTGGTACTCTTTGGCCTGTGGATGCATCACTCCAACCTCTGCCTCCATCTTGATGTGTCTTTTCCTTTCTGTGTCTTCTAAGGACATTTGTCATTGGCCTTAAGGCCCAACCAAGTCCAGGATGAGCTCATTGTGAGATCCTTAACTTGACTGTATCTGCAGAAACTCCTATTCCAAGTAAGGTCTACATCCACTGGTCCCAGACAGACTCACCTTTGGGGGCCACGATTCCACCCACTGCCTTCCCCCAGGCACTTCATTTTAGACCCGCTGTTCCACCAGGGGTGACGGGAGCTGCAGATTCAGCTGTCTGTGTGCCCACCCTCCTCCTCTCCCTCCCCATTCCCAGTGGCTCTGTCACAAGTGTTGCCCATATTATTAAAAGCAGAAGCACTGTTCACTACTAGGCCAAGTAACACCTGTTCTTACAGTAGCTTTAGAACCTAACTTTTCCTCTTCTTGGCACTTTTATTTTCTGAGCTCCCAGTGTCACCATTTTGAAACCTTCCAAAACTCTCCGACAGAACTGTCCGACAGAACTGACAACTCCCTGAATGCTGTGCACACAGTCAGACATCAAGTCACCTACCAGTTCCTTTCCCTGGTGACATGCCCCGGAGCCCAGTACCGCTGCTCTGATCAGGAGGACATCCAGGCCCCAAATGGGGGAAGCACCTCCTCCCTGTGTTTTCTAAGGCAGAGAGTGTGGTAGGCCTTGTCCCTGGGACCACCCAGTGTCTCCTGAGATGAGCACTCACTGTCTTGCCTGGGGAGCAGGGATGTGGCACCGGGTTCTTGGGTCTCAGCTGTACCCTGCTCAGCTTTAGACCCGCTGGTTCCAGAACAGCCCCTCTCCCACCTGCTGCGGTGCCTCACACCCAAGGGCTCAGAGCTTCTCTGTCCACAGAGAGACAACCCCACCCCCCAGGGTCTGACAGGGGCAGACCACTGACACCGCTTCAGCGGACACACGATGGGGGCCCTGCAGCTCCCTACACACACCTTCTGCTACCTCCCTTTCCAGCCTGGTCTTGCCCTTGCCTACCAAGGTCCTGGGTGGGCCCTGTCACCTGTCGGGGACTTCCTGCTCTTCAGGAAGCCACCGCTGCAGACGCTTGGGGCTCAACTGTCTCTCCTAACTCCTCCATCTCGCTTCCTTCTACCAAAAAGGTGTCCAGACCTCTTTGCTGCCATCATTTCCACCCCTTTCTCTGTCTTTGTGCATTTATGCCTTTTTTAGTCCCTTTTCTCCTTCAGTGAAGTTTCAGGAAGGTGAAGGTGAATGCATGTATTAAATCTATGTAGTCTCTGTACTTCGTTTTCCCCCCTCGTAACTCTCTTTATTGTTTCTTGGATACACTTTTTTTCTTTTATCTTTCTATTATAAATGTTTACATAGTATATTCTTATCTGAAATCCTTTTCAGATTACTTCATTTCTTCAGACATTAAATTCCTCCACTTGCTGAATGAGCTGTTTTCTCTCACTCACAGCACTGGGCCTCCTCAGAGGTTTTTTGAAAGAGGATTCTCCCACCTTCTGCACACTATTTACACCGAATGTTAGTCACTAAACACACTCCTGCAACACAACAAGCGGGCACAGAAATCAGACTAGACCCAGTGGAGGCCCGGGGCGAGTCACCCCCTGAAAGCCTCCCTGATCCCTCCCGGCACTGGGTACAAACTGGTCGTCGGAAAGGAAGTGTGACAAGAACCAGAACTGTGTGAATATGAACAACAGAAAATTATGTATCCACCTTGTTAAAATCAGATTACTTGTACAAATAAATATCCAAACACTTTCTAAAACTAATAGCTTACCAGAAATCATTTTTCCAACAAGATAACTCAAAGTCAATCATCCCCTCTGAAAACGTCATTCAATGAACAACTACACAAAGCGGGGCGGCCGGGGCGGCCGACACAGTCTCTCTCACTTTTACCAAACGTCTCTCTGCACACTGCATACTTTCTCACCCGTAAGGAAGAACCTGGGAGGGTAGGGATCTCAGGGGGGACAGCGCTGCTTAGGAGAGCACCGATAAAGGCCCACCTTCTGCTTAACGTACAGCCTGGGAGAGTGCATGTCTCCTTTCCCAAAGGCCTCTGCCTTTGAGACGTTCTGATGAACCCTAAAGGATCAGAAATCATTCCTGAAGAAGTGCGCGTGTAACTCCAAAGAATCGCTTCTTTCTGCCATCCGATGTCTCGCTAGGAAAACCAACATATCCCCCCAGGAAGGAGACCCACGGGCTGATGCCGCGCGGTCCCTCCACAGCTCACTTCAGCACTCAGGCTGTAATCTGACTACCCCCCGTGCTCACACAATTGTCTAGAAAGTGAAGAGGGAGATGCAGCCGGAGAACAAGCAGCCGTACCTTCTCCATTCCATCGGTTCTCTCGGCAGCTGCTGGGAGAGCGTTGGGTAAATGGAGGTAAATAAATTCTGATCTCCAGCACCTACAACAGGAATAAAGAGAAATCCAGTTAGGACATTTGTAGGTAAATGTAGGCAAAATGGGCTCTAAAATTTACTAAACTGGCAATTTGAGACTACTTCATATTTAGTAAAATGACATCACAAAACGAGACCGTCTCGTACCTTTAAATAATCGATGTCTAGAACACCCAGCCCCTGACATTGATGGTCTAACTTAACCCTCACGTCACCTCCATGTGTGGGTCTGGTTTTCCCCTCTAGGAGGAGGGTCAGAAAAGTTGAGTAACTTGCCTAAAGCTCAGGAGAGAGGGGCCCTGTCACCTCCACCCAGTTTCGCTCCCCAGCCTGCTCTACAGCCACTACCTTCTTCAACTTCAAGACAACAGCCAGAACATTCCGGGCAGAAAAGGAGACCCAGAGAGGTTTCTTCATCAACATAAACTCTATATGCATCAAAATGACATCAGGAGCAAAAACGCACAGGACACGTTCCCTGCGCACACACTATGCAAAACTCTCGCCACGCAGTCTCACTCAGTCCCTGCACTAACCCTGGCAGACAAGGGCAGACTGGAGCCAGCCTCGCGGAGAAGGGAAGGCAGGTCTGAGAGCCAAGGCGTCCAGAGCACCCGACCACGCTGGCAGACACTGGCTGGCCCCCGCCCCCGCCCACCCCGTGTGTCTGACTGTGCTGCACACACACTCGGCTCTTCCACAGAAGCTTCACAGAGTGGAAACTCCCACCGAGCTCTCATAAAGTGACAGTGTGACACACTGTCACAGTCAAGCTAGAAAAGGACCTTTTTCCTGTAGGTTACTCAAATTCTTATACTCAGAGGGTCCTCCAACACTGAGCAAACCGTTTTCCAAGCTGCTTTTTTGTTGATCTTAAAGAAATCATGGGGAATTGATGGGGGTCATTAATACATTTGCTTGTTTTGCTACCATGAACCTACAAAAACAAAAATGAAAAATAAACCTCCCCAAACCACATAACAACGTCAAGTCGCTGCTGAGAGGAATGACGTTTTGGACAGCCGCGCTATAAGCACCCAAGCACGGTGGGGCATGGTGACAACAGCCTGAATCTCAGCTTCACCTCTACCAGCTGCACAGCCTGCAAGACCATTTACCCACCCACCCCCAGCCCTCACAGGGCCATCTGTGCAATGGAGGAGTAAGACACCAACCCCCAGGGCTGAGATGGGACTAAATGAGTCGACACCGATAAATAACTTTGAACACGGCCTGATACCCAGTAAGTACTGGTAAGGGTTACTATTATTCCAGTTTTTGTAAAAATAAAAAAATTTTGTTTTAATCATGTTCATTTATTTGATGGTCATCCTAGAAATCATTAAAGTAAAAAAAAAAAAAACCCTTCAGTTAGATCTCTTTGCCAATTTCTGTTGCCTCTTTTAAAAGTTCCAAGATTAATATACAAAAATCACTATTTTTTCTTATGTAGAAGTTAGGGCGACTACATGAAAGCTTTCTCCTCTCTTAGTTCGCTGGGAAGTCTCAGGTGAATGCCTAATTAACATAAGTACACAGAGTGAACCACCAATGAAGTGCCTCCAGGTCTCCCCCCACTTCCCCCCACAAGCTTTCTCCCACAGGAAATCCTATTATACAACAAAACGTCCATAAACGGACACACTAAAGTAACAACTTTTCTTACATTCTATTGTGAAATAAAAATGTAATTTGTGTCCAAATTTTAATTTTTAAATATTATAGATTAGCCCATCTGTCAAGGGGAAAGATGTCCTCTGACAATAACTGGGGACTTAACACATGACCATTTATTTGATCTCAGTGCCTGTTATGAACTGTGTGTCCCCACCACCAATTCACACTTTGAAACTATCTGAGATAAGGTCTTGAAAAAGGTGATTAAGTTAAAATGAGATCCACAGGGTGGATCCACAGGGTAGGCCATGATCCAATCTGACCGGGTCTTCATAAGAAGAGGAAATTGACGCACAGAGACATGGGGACATGAAATGACCCTGTGAGGCCACAGCAAGTAAGTGGCCACCTGCAAGCCAAGGAAAGAGGCTGCAGACACCTACCCTGCTGACACTCTGAGCTTGGACTTCCAGCCCCCAGAACGGTTAGAAAATAAGCTTCTGTTGTTTAAGCCACACAGTGGTAGCATTTTGTTGTGATAGTCCTGGCAAACTGACATAGTGCCCTAATTTAAATGTGAAGGTCAAATCCTTCTAACCCATCAAAGCCCTACATTGAACAAAAATGAAGAAAAGCCACCATGATTTCCTCTGAATATGCAGCTATTATTAATTACGATACTCTTAAATCTATATTATCATGAAAACTAGAGATGCTTTTGAAAATGAGCTACAGAGAACCAGAGCTCTAAACAGCAGGACTAGGAAGGGCTTAGGCGGAAAACCTGAAGAACTGGATCTCGGCTTGCGTGACAGATAAGTAACAGTATGTATGCTGTAGCTTCCCGAAACAGCCCGACCACTAAGGAGAAAGTCATTACCGCTTAGAGGTCTGGGCTGCAAGCGCAACAACTTCCAGGCTGAGTTTTTGTTTTAATCCCATAGGCAAGAGAGAAAAACCAAGGATTCAGTTATCAGAAAACGGCTACTAAAAGCAAATATGAGGCTTAAGGCTAATGTGCCCATGTTCAGAGAACGCTGTTCAGAAACTTGCTGTGTTCACTTTTCTGACACCAGAGGCCTATTAAGAGTCAATTCAGACTACTTAACAAATAAGCTTTTTTTTTTTCTGGTGAAGGGGAAGACATCAAAATAATTAACAAGTAAATCAAAGCAAAGTCCCATGAACATAAATCTGCACGCATGTGTGTGTGTGTGTATGTGCACAAACGCTGCCAGTCCTCATCACTAATCAGTGGACAGACACACCGAGCTCTAAGCAGTAACCCCGGCACCGTAGGTGGTTTCAGGGGCATGCACACACCAGCACAGCTGTCCTCTGCCCCTTGTCACATCAGTGCAGGGTGGCACCCTGGCAGGGGGTGACGGAGGAGTAGGCGCAGGAGACACTCAACTGTGAAGGGAAATGACAGGGGACAGTCACCTTGCTTTGAAGCGATCGAGGTAAGCTCTCAGTCTGTGGGCCAACCTGACCCGCTGGACGCCAGCCCCCAGGCCAAGGAAGAGCCCACAAGCTGGGGAAAGCCCAATTCAGATATTCCCCAAGAAAGGTGGGCACAGCCCTGGGTTTCTGACCACATGGGCCTGTTTTCTTATATGCCAGTTATAACTGGATTTTCTGTTATGTTTAGTCAGATGACTGATACGGACCATCTTCACTATTTCCTGAATTACTTCTGCACCCGCTGAGATTTTTGCAAGCATATATTCCTGTATCAATCATGTAATTCGAAATTTTTTATGTTATAAGCAGATAAAAATTAATCAAACACAGGGAAAAGAATTCAAAAAGATTATTTCAGTGATTTAAGCATAAATGTATTTTGACAAACCCTGCTTAATATTTTCTTAAAATTTTTAAAACAGAAGCACTTGGGGTCTAAATTACAGAGTAAGTAATTAGTACCTTATATCAACATTAAAAAGACACTAACACAAGCCCAACTTACACAAGTCACTACAGATCTAGATGTAGCATTTAGATGTTAGATCGCTGACAATAAGACAATGAAAAAAAATGGCCATTTTTAAAGCACTTCTCCTCTTCAAAGAAGTCTATTATCACTAAAAATAGAATCCTGCAGGCCAGTCTTTTTAGACCCAAGATGCTGTCACTAAAATGAGAGTCTAGCGCAAGCCTAGGACAGGCCCAGACAGACCCAACAGTGATGCTGCCACTAACCAGCCACGTGGCCGGCCCAGGTTCAGCTGTCGTCACAGCCGCATGCCATTCGTTTTACCTTCAGTCAGTGTAAAGGGCAATGGACTTTGTACTGGCAATCACTTCATGCACAGAACCTTTTACTTTGGGCCCACTAGAACTGCAAAGTCACAAAGTATTTCACACTGAAGCATTTTCAAATTCAAATTTGGAATTCTTAACAGTCCATTGCAACCAGAACAAAATCACTATTAAGTGGATGCTGAATGAGCAGAGGACTCTAGGACCTGCTTTGGTGAAAATGCCTCAAACAAGACACACAGCCAGCTCTTCATCCCAAAATCCACATCCAAACCACGTGGCCCCAAGCAGCACTCTTTGGGGATGAGATTACGGAGTTCACACTGTTCATTTCAGGAACACAGGCTGTCGAAAATAAAGGCACACATTCTCTTTAACCTAAGAGAAAATGTTTGTATCTACAATCAAAAGCTATAGATTTATCTTGTTAATATTCCTATGCTTATGCGATAATTAAAAAATACTTTAGGACTCAATTATGACGTAAGATTAAATCTGGAACCGTCTATATGGAAAAGTAGCATGAATTACCAAATGTGGTTTGAATACTCAAGAGAGAGCTATAAATTATGCCTCAGAGGATCACAAGGTTAAACTGAAGTCACCTCTCGGTCAGGAAGGACACAGGGTTTTCATGCTCATAAAGTCATTACTTCCTATGGCTTCTCCTCCAGGCACACTAAGGGCATTCACAACTCTCCTCCGGTGTCCCAGAACCTGTAAACAGGTTACATCACCTGACAAGGAAAAATGAAGGTGCAGGTGGATGAAGGTTGCTGCTAACCAGCTGACCTTAAGTAAACAGATTATCCTGGACTATCTGGATGGGCCCACTGTACTCACAAGGGTCCCAGGGAAGGGAAGAGGGAGGCAGAAAACCAGAACCAACACTGAACTGGTCACTGCCGGCTGTGAAGATGGAGAAGGGAATGAGCATCAAGGAAAGTGGGGGCCACTAAAGGTTGGCAAAGGCCAGGAAATAGACTCTTTCCTCTAGAACCTCCATGGAAAACCAGCCCAGCCGGCACCTAGATTTCAGCCCAAGAAGACGACTTTTCTTAAAGGTACTAAATCTATGTAATTTGTGCCAGCAGCCACAGGAAACTAATATAACTAAAAAAGTATG